GGGAGGTTCCATGGTAGAGTGTGTCTAATTGGGAAATTAGGGAATCAGGTTTACGGGATTCTAAGGTGATACAATTTTGATTCGTCGTTGGAAAATTGCCTTCCGGTTAGCTCCGCCCGCTATGTCATTTTTTATTCGTTCTCACGTTGAACGATGGATAGATATCTCTGGATTAGTTAATCGAGAGTCGCGGTTCGTGTTGATTTTTCTCAGTGTCGGAAAATGTCATTACTAGATTTATAACCCTATCTTAAGCCTAAGCGTGGGACCATTATCGTTGGGCCCGCGTGATATCGGTGTGAGATGGTTAAACATTTCATCTTCTTTCGAGCGTCGGTCCGCGCTATCACTCTTATTATCGCGGGGATTATTTCGTGGCTTGGCTTAGCTTTGGTGCCAACGCTGTTTGATGTTGATTTTCGTTTTCCACGATGCTCAAAAAGAGGTTTGATAGTCAATGCTACGAAAGAGTTTTTTATCGCGGATCTTTCGATTCTAGGCAATCATTTCGAGACCTGGCTTAGCGCCTTGGTACCAACGCTATTTGGTGATTATTTGATATTGACTTTCATTTTCTACGATGCTCGAAAGGAGATTTAATGTTTGATTATCGGCACTATGAGAGAGTTTTTATTGCGGGTCTCTCGATTCTAGGCAAACAAGATTTTGTGGCTGGAAACTTCTCTCGGATTTGTGTTATCACTTGGATTTGTTCATATCTTACTTCGTTGATTGAACGGTCGCGAAACGAAGAAATCGTGGAGTCCACCGGACGTAACAGTTGCATAAAAGAATTATTGCTTCCTATCATAACCGATGCATTATCACATGCCATTCCGACAATATTCTTAATTGGAATTTTTTTTTCTTCTAAAAGATTTTCAAAAACTTCGAATAGTTTGCGAGCAGAGCAATCTTTAGCATCTAAAGAAACTAATTCTAATAATTGTGTTATTACTTTTTTATTTAAAGGAGAAACATACCGAATAAGAACGCACAATAATTTTGTATCCGAAATATTTGTACTTTCGTCGATTAAAATCGAAAATCTAGAAGATTGTAAGTTATCGACAATTTTTTCAATTTCACGTTTAGCTAATATATCTTTAATGACATTTGAACATTTAGTTCGGCACATTGCAGCATCTTGTACAACCTTAGGATCTACACAAATATCTTTCATTAGTGGAATTAAGTGTTCAACAGTTTGAAAAGCAATATTATGTTCAGCATAAAATGCTGCTAATTTAATTTCAAATCGTTTGACTTTATCTTTATGTGATAATTCTGTGAATTTATTGTCACTAATTGGATCAATCGGTTTTGTAATATTTAAATTTTCGATATGTTTGACTGTCTGTGAGTGTCGAATTAAATCTGCTTTACAACATCTGATGGGTTTGTTACATGCAGTACACATTGCTGTATTATGCGACCGACCGCAATTCCCCAGAGTCCGCAGAATAATTATAAAAGGACGACATTAATTTCAACAGGATGCGCAAATATTAACAACACAACAAACAAGTATAGCAGCAGCGAGGAAGGAGTATCCTCAAAACATCCTCCAAACAGTTACGAAGGATGACGGCGAGACGACCAAACGGACATCGAATCCGGAAGACCAAAAGGAAACCGCATAAAAGAAGCAATAATGAGCGCGGAATTAAATTATTTTGTTATGTTTTATTTACGCTAGAGTAGCAGTTTATTAATTATTTTATTTGTAAAAGGTCAAGCCGTACTCAAGCTGCGATATTAGAAAAAGAGACATAAAGGCATAATTATATTTTACCTTTTTATTACGTTACATTACAGGACTAGAAAAGTTAATATATTTATCTTACGCAATTAATTAACACATATATATATGCTATTATAATAAAGTTTGATACGTTTTCTAATTATTTGAACAAGATTCAACCTACCTAAATATCCTGCAAAACACAGGTACCGAGGCGATCCAATCCTATCCAGTGCATTAACCTAGAAATAAAAGAATGAATTAAAATTAAAGAACATGTTGAAATAAAGATATAAAAAGATACTTACCCATAAATTACCCTGTGATGGATTTGGAGACCCTGAAAAATAAAAAGATTGTTAACAGCCGCCGAAGAGCGAATACTTAAGAGAAAGGTTTGTTAAACCACATTTTATGTTTATTTTGTCAAAAAGGCACCTAAGCCGAATTATTCCACTCATTCTATAATTATTTTGAGCAACTAGAATTAATTAGAACATCTCTCATGAGTTAGAAAGAAAAGATAGAATTATTCCACTCATTAGACAAGCATAGACTTACTAAATTACTTAAACTCACTAAACTTGGTAAAAGACAATTTAATCGATTAATCCATATTATTTCTAAATTGTTCACAGCCCGATAGAATTATTTACAGTCAGAACTAATTATTTAAAACATGTACAGAAAGATGTTCTAGCTAAGACAAGACAGCATTAAAATACGCGAAAAGCGATTAAGAGGACCTAAAACTTTATATGCGAGAGTTTTGCAATTAACATATCACATACAAGTCATTTTGAAATTATTCTACACAAAACCAGCCATTTACTAATTAATTACAGACATTTCAAATTATTCGGATGCATTAAAGTATCATTCACAGCACCTACGAATTATTTAAGGTGTATTCATACTCGCTTAATTTAACTCGTTAATTTCTCATTTAGTTGAATTATTTCGGCAAACCAGATGATTATTTCATTAAAAACTAATTATTTAGAGCCACAGCGAATTATTTCATCAATATTTAACGATAAAACTATTATTCCAATTATTTGATTGGTTGCCGAAATGGTCCAGTTGAAATGTTTAATTATTCGCACTAATTAAGAATAGAAAGCGAAAGTCCATATTTATTTTATCTCAAGGAAGTTATTTCCTAATTATTTAAACAGTTTGTAACCTTAAAAGGCCTGTGTGAATGTATTACCAGGAGATTACTAGATTCGGGAACACCGAACCGACTGCGGAAAACGGAACGCACCGTTTCTTCCTGGCCATCTTGGCAGTAGAGGAAGCCATCTTGCCAGGCAGTCGCAGCCGAACTACCAAACACGACGGACGTACATCGTGCCGGTGCGACTCAAGTATTGCGTAACCGCGAATACCGTAGAAAATAGCGTAATACCGTGACGGGAAAGCGCGTTAACGTTTAATAGACATCGCGAAACGCGAGTAAACGCGGAGAAACGCGAATTAACGCGAAAAATCGCGAACAAAGGGCAAGTTCCGTTAGTGAAGTGAAAACGGAATATCGGCAGAATCACGCCGTAAATCGTTAATACACGTCTTTAATACGTAGCCCGTAAACGCCACGCGTCGTGATAACGCGAATAAAGTGAGAATTTAACCTCCTAACCGTTGTACGCAATAGGTGACGCAAGATTGCGCAATCGCCAAGGGCGGCCATATTGAGATCCGCCATTCCGCCGAAAGTGCGACGCGACGCGACAACGTGATATATATAAGCAAGAGTGAGAGCGAGAGTGTCAATTATTCAGAAAATACGTGTGCTTGTGAACTGTGTGAATGAGAGGCCGTTATTAATTAATTGTTGGTGTTTTCTATTAAATAAATATATCTTTGTTACACCAACGTGCCTTCTCTTTAATTACGACGGACACCAGTTCCATTAACAATATTAATAAGCATCCACGAAACGAAGAGAGACCACACGACGACACGAGCTTCACTATTTAGCGGCCAATCACAAGAACGACAGACAGGAAGGAAGACAATCAGAGCCCTTCACTACATCAAGGCCAGCTAAGCGGGACAACCGAGGACCCGGATTACCTTCTTTGTTACAACGGTTAAACAAAGTGGCGACCAAGGTAAGTCACGACCAGTGACAATTAAAGAATTAATTACATAAATACGAATTACACGGATATTTTCAAGATTAGAGGCATTAATCCGGTCACAACCTAACCTAGCCTACGCCTATGGAGAACTGCCAAGAACTGCGCGCCAAAACATTTCTCCTACATTATCTACACCTACACCGCCTACACCAATGATAACCAATAATGTAAAGGGAAAGAAACGCAAGATTAGAGAATTCCAATCTTCATGGCTAGATCTAGATGAGAATATTTTTAAGGAATAGTTAATTGGCTCCTTACTATCAGGAAAATACAACAACGTGTACTGCAAGCAATAAACTCATCAGATGTAAAACAGGCAAAATGATATGTAAAACTGATCCTAGGCATTTAGAACTGCATAATGCACAAAATTTATGGAAATATAAGAGTAAATCTGACGAAACAAGATTTGATGAGATATAACTTTACTTTTATTTTTTTAATTATTATTTTGTTTAAAGTCACAAATCTAACCAATATTTTTTAATGCTTGTTAGAAACTTTATATTTCTATTTCATGATTATTTTTATTATTAATCATATGTTGCATGTTATGACCATTAATATTATTAATCATTTATATTGTTTTTAGATTTTAAGTTAATTTAAAGACACTTCAATAATTTAAATGATTAACTAACAATTTTTATTTTTATATTTAAAAGTATAATATAAAATGCAATAATTTTTGTGACATAATTATTTTGTGAAATATTTATTTTTGATATTGCGATTTGTTCGAATTTTATTTTTGCTATTATTAAATATTAGGAGCTATGCGAAGATTTTCCTCTCGCAAAAAAGAGAAATATCTGCTTATTTTACAAATATTTGTAAGATTTTTGGCAGTTTCTCTTATCCTTGTAACAAATATTGGTACGAGATTCTGCCAAATAAAATATTTTAATATAAAAAAACTGTTTCATAAATTATTTTACACCTTTCTCTTATTCTTTAGCTAATATTTTATTATTAAATACAAATTGTCATATTTTTTATATGTGTAAATTTGTTTGTAAGTAATATATATAAAATATATTATAATTTTTAAGAATTTTTAACAAATTTTACGTAGGCGCCTAATGACCCGTTTACTGGTAACGAGTACAATACTGACGCCTAGTACTATTCGACGCGCATACGCCAGAAACGCGTCCCGTCCGGCATCACTGCCCTGGTCCTCTGTAATGAGGTAAACTTGGCCAGTCACGTCTAAACAAGTAATTCGGCCATAACCACTCCAACCGTTTTCAGGGGTATCAATATAACTCGTCTCACATGCGCAAAGACCCTATAATAAAAAGAAGACCATATAAAAGCCCCCCCACCCGTCCCATCCCCAGACACCGCCCCCCACCCCAGACCACAAAAGGAGAACGGAGGTAAAGGAAGACGCCAAGGGGAAAGGAGGGGGCAACCTTAGATCAATAAATTCAATGACTTGAAAAATGCGAGTAAGAGCCTGCATAATTCGGGAGGCGGTTTGATTAGCATGGGAAAAATATCCTGAGTGAAGAGGAAAAGATTTCAATAGAAATTTACTTAGAGGCGCGAATCTACCCCGAGACAAAGGGCAGTGAAATATAACGTGATTGACGTCCTGTCTGGGATCCCCGCACGGGCACACCGGCGAGTCTACCATGTTCTTTCTGTGCAAACTATAATTTAGGTTATAGTGATTAGCTCTCAATCTATTGATAAGAACAATTTCTTGTCTCCTAAGAGACATATGATAAAACCAAGTTTTCCCATAGTGTTCGGAATAAAATCTGGCGAATTGTGTGCCGGTATTAAACGAGGCCTCTTCAAAATATCCAATAAAACGCTCCCTCGCATTTCTGTCTGCAATAAGTACAAGGTCTGAAGACGGGAGTTTAAAATTGTCTCTGCCCCCTTCCTCAGTGGCTTCTTTGGCAGCTCTGTCCGCTATCTCATTGCCTGGAATTCCTCTATGTGCCGGAATCCAGCTCGGAGAGACATCAATGCCCCTCACTGAGGAAGATCTTAAAAGGCGCTTAATCCAATGGATGACATAATTGCGATTAATGATTTTACTAGAGTTAATTGATTCTAAAACACTTTTAGAGTCGGAGAAAATAATAGCTTTGGAGTATCCTACATCTTGAATAAGGAGAAGAGTCTGGTAGATCGCCCATGCCTCAGCTGTAAAGACCGTAGTATCCGGAGTTAGCTTGTATCTAAAGCTAACCCCCAGCTCCGGGGAGTAAGAGGCCGCACCAGCGCAGCCCCGCTCATCCAACTTCGATCCATCGGTATAGAAAGTAATTGCCTCCTTCCTCAATTCTGCTGTGTTGTCCATGAATTCTTGGATAATAACCCTATCTGGTTTGTCCTTGGTGATGAAAATAGGTTGTAAGTATTTGAATCTTGAAATAAAATCGAGATAGGACGTTTCAAAGGCTGGATGAATGGTGGACTGGAATGATTTGTCTATCATGTGTTTGTTGGTAACATCAAACCTAAAGGAAGGTGAAGCCGAGATAGCAAGGGATTTCTCCCGCGACGTCCTAGCTGTAAGTTCCATGGAGAGCAAGCTGTTCGACACAGCGCCTCCCCTTTTGCTAATTATTTTAAGAATGTATCTTTCTGTCATGTGTGCAAATCTCTGTCTTAAGGGAGGCTCCCTGGCTTCAAACAGGATAGCATTGATAGGGGTCGATTGTCTATAACCTAAAGCGATTCTCAACGCCTTAAACTGTAGTCTTTGCAGTTGTGTTAATAACGATCTTTTATTATTAACTACAAACATTTGAGCCCCGTATTCGATGGAGCCTCTAAAGACCGCGCGGTAGATTGTAATTAGTAGCTGAGGATGAGACCCCCACCATACGGCTGCGAGAGAAGACAAGATGTTAATCACTGCTCTTCCTCTTTTGATAATCTGCTTAAAATGCTCCATTCCGTTAAGCCTAAAATCAAGCATAATCCCCAAAAACCTCATCTTGTTAACTCTTTCTACCAATTGATTCCTAATGTAGAGCTTGAGAGCCGCTAATTCTCCATTTCTACAATTCTTCCCATAGAATACCATCCATTTGGTCTTGGACAGTGACAGTTCCAGGCTTGTCTAGAAGATGAGTAAACAACTATGTCATCCGCGTATTGTAGAAATTGAGTGTCCGGGTGAAGGTGATGATCCAGCTCTCTGACGCTAATATTAAATAAAAGCGGACTGAGTGTAGAACCTTGTGGAGTACCTTTGTTGACCTCAAATTTTTGACTGAGTCGGCCCTCTTCTACAAAATGAACTGATCTGTGAGTAGTGGTATTTTCAACAAACCTGCGAACCACGGCCGGGACACCAATTCTTCTGAGCTCCGTAAGCACCGACTACGGTAGCACGTTGTCGAATGCTCCTTTTATATTCAGGAACGCCGCAACAACGGCCTCCCCGTCCAGAAAGCTAGCTTGTATATTGTTGGTGAGAGTGACCAGGCTATCGGAACAGGACCTATTATGCCTGAAACCCATTTGCTCTTGAGGTAAGAGTGCCTGTGATTCCACCAGCCACTGAAGCCTGAAATAAATGATCTTCTCAAAAATCTTCGTGACACAAGAGAGTAGCGAGATAGGTCTTAGCCCCTCATTATTGGATTTCGGAATGAAGATGACCAGTGATGTTTTCCACGAGTTCGGAACAATGCCTTCTTTGAGAATGCGATTAAATAAGTCCAAGAGAAATTCCTGGTAATTATCAGGCAAAGAAGTGAGCATTATATAGCTGATTTGGTCGAGTCCGGGGGCTGAGTTTTTGTTAGATTGAATAAGAGCCAAATTAAGTTCATCCTTGGTGAATGGTTCCCCGAGGGTAAATATGTAGATTAGGGGAGCCCCCCCAATGACCTTGACCTTGACATATGTTGTCAAGGTCATGACCCCGAGTGACCTTGAGGAAGTTTTAATT